ACACCTGGGGGTGCTGAGACTGCGGGTGCTCCTACTGGGGGTGCTGAGCCTGGGGGTGCTGCGACTGGGGGTGTTGAGCCCAGGGGTGCTTCGACTTGGGGTGCTGAGCCTGGGGGTGCTGAGCCTGGGAGTGCTACGCCTGGAGGTGCTGAGCCTGGAGGTGCGGAGCCTGAGGGAGTTGGGACTACTTGTGTGGCGTCTGGCGGTGCTGGGCCTGCAGGTTCTCCGGGTGCTTCGTCTTGACGGGAGCCCCTCTCTCCATAGGAGCTGCGTGAGTGGTTTGCCCGGCGCTAGAGGCGTGCTGCTGGAGCTGGAGTTTTCCAGCTGCTGAGGGTGCTGGTGCCGCGGGTCCCGGACGTGCTCGTGCTGGGAGTACTGGAGCTGCTGGGCCTGCGGGTGCGACTCGAGCTGGTGCTGCTGAGGGTGTTGGCGCGGAGGCTGCTGCTGTCGGTCCTGGAGGCGGACCTACTGGGGGTACTACTGGGGCTGCTGGAGGTACTGGAGCTGGAGGTGCTCCTGGCGCTGGTGCTGCCGCTGGGGGTACTGGTGCTGTCTCTGCTGTGTCTGAAGTTGCCGCGCGGCCTCGGTCGTACTTCGTTCCGCTCCTTCAGCAGGTTATTGGTCTCCCGCCTTCTACTAGTCCTTCTCCTCCCTTAGAGTGTCCACAGCCTGTCCCGTCACAGTTACAGCCGGCCTCCCCACTGCGTGCTCCTTCTCCCTACACTGGTCCTACTGGAGGTCTTGCTGAGCGTCGTGAGCCTGCGTCTCGCCCTGCGTCGCTTGTCCGCCCTGCTCGCACTAGTGGTCGTGGTTCGCGTCAGCGTCCTCCTCCTGTCCCTGGCACGCAACGGATGTCTCTGCGCCTGTCCACTGCTCCTCTGCGTGCCCCTTTGCCTTCTCCTCCTGAGTCCTCTCTTCCTGCTCTTGCCGACCCGAAGTCGGACTCTCTTCGTGCTGCCAGTCCTACCATCACGCGTCTCCTTGCTACTGTCGTCACTGACCCTTCCTTTGAGTCCACTGCTGCGTCTGCCTTAGTTAATATGCTCGTCGACTTTGTTGCTCGTTGTCGTCTAGACTACGCTCCTAGTCTTGTCGCTGAGTCTGAGTCTGTCTGTCCTCTGTCCGTCGGGGGTGAGTGTGCCCATGGCACGGACGTCCTTGAGGACAGGCAGGAGGAGTTCCAGTGCCTGGCTGCTGCTTCACCTCATCTCGTGTCCGTACTGCTTATCCCTGAGGGAGACCCGGATGCACTTGTCATCCCGACTCCGCGCTCTTACGCGGAGGCGATAGAGGGTCCCTACTCCTCTCAGTGGCAGGCAGCTATGGACGCACAGATGGCTTCCTAAGGTCCATAGGCACCTACGTTGACGAGGTTCCCTCGCCTGGGGCGAGCATCGTCAATGGCATGTGGATTTTCAGGGTGAAGCGGCCGCCGGGTTCTCCGCCTGTCTTCAAGGCGCGCTACGTGGCTCGTGGCTTCAGTCAGCGATAGGGAGTTGACTACTTTCAGACCTTCTCTCCCACCCCGAAGATGACCACTCCTCGGGTACTCCTGCACATAGCTGCTCACCGTGACTACGAGCTTCACTCTCTTGACTTCAGCACGGCTTTCTTATAGGGCATCCTGCACGAGGAGATCTTGCTGCGTCGCCCACCTGGCTTCACTGGGTCTTTTCCTCCTGGCACACAGTGGAGCCTCTGGCGGCCAGTCTACGGTCTCCGCCAGGCACAGCGTGAGTGGCACGACACACTGAGGACTACACTTGCGGCTCTCGGGTTTGCTCCCTCTACTGCCGACCCGTCGCTGTTTCTGCGCACCGACACTTCTTTGCCGCCGTTCTACATCCTCGTGTACGTCGACGACTTGGTCTTTGCCACAGCTGACACTGCTGGACTCGCCCACGTGAAGTCCGAGCTGCAGAAGAGACACACGTGCACAGACCTGGGTGAACTGCGCAGCTACCTTGGCTTGCAGATCACCCGGGACAGAGCACAGCGCACCATTACCCTGACTCAGTCACACATGGTGCAGCAGGTCCTTCAGCGCTTCCGTTTCACGTACTCCTCCCCTCAGGCCACTCCTCTGCCTACTCGCCACTCACTCTCAGCTCTGCCTTCGGATGAGTCCGTAGAGTCGAGTGGCCCGTACCCAGAGCTTGTTGGCTGCCTCATGTACCTGATGACCTGCACTCGACCTGACCTTGCATACCCTCTTAGCATTCTCGCACGCTATGTTGCTCCTGGGAGACATAGACCGGAGCACATGGCTGCAGTGAAGAGGGTGTTGCGCTACTTGTGCAGTACGTCGGGCATGGGGCTTGTGCTTGGAGGGCATAGTCCAGTGGTCCTCACTAGGCACGCAGACGCTTCTTGGGCTGACGACCAGGCTACGCAGCGGTCGTCACAGGGTTACACCTTCAGCCTTGGTTCTGGCTCTGTTTCGTGGCGGGCTACTCGCTCGTCTTCTGTTCTCGGCTCCAGTTGTGAGGCTGAGATCTATGCCGTGGCCATGGCTGCTCAGGAGCTTCCCTGGCTCACCTACCTGCTGACTGACCTCGGAGAGCCGCCTAGTTCTCCTCCAGTGCTGTATGTAGATAACAAGGCCATGCTGGCCTTGTGTCGAGAGCAGAGACTGGAGCACAGAACGAAGCACATTGCTCTTCGCTACTTCCTTGCTCGTGAGCTACAGCAGCGTGGTCAGCTGCGTCTTGCGTACGTGGCCTGTGAGGCCAACACTGCTGATATCTTCACCAAGGCACTTGCGCCTTGTGATCATCAGCGCTTCTGTACTCAGCGTGTTTTGTGCACGCCTTGCCTCACTTGCTCACCTCTTGACCCTACTTGTACTGTTACAAATATATATACACCTGCTCTTGCTTTTCTAGCCTTATATATATATATATATATATATATATATGTTCTCCTGCATGTGAATTGGCCTTGTGGCCTTGACCTTGTGCTCGGAATGTGTGGTGACTTTGTGATCCACCCTGAGCTTGCTTTGCTTTGCTTTGCTTGACTGGTCTTGTGACCCCTTGTACTCCCCCACTTTGCCTATGGGGGTGTGTCAGAACATTATAGCTTATTCTTTTGTGTAGGCTGTAGTGGAGTATCCCATATAGGGTACAACCCAATTAGGGTTAGCACTTGTACCCAACTCTTTCATAGTGCATTCATTCTCGTTTCAGTTTTCTCAATTATAACATTCTGACACACCCCCATAGCCAAAGTGGGGTGTAATCAGCACAATGAGCAAGCAGGCATAGAGCAGGAGTTCACAATAGCGAGCAAAGCTAGAGTTAATCACAGCGGGAAAGTGAGGATGAGGAGGAACTGTGGAGGGAGAGAAGATGGGAGGCAACGACTGAAGCTGCAGAGGCACGAGCACAGGAGCGGCTGACTCAGTGGCTACCGAAGCAAGAGCGACGGACTACTAGAGTAACTGGCTCCGCGGCTATAGACGAGCGGTAGGAGCAACGGACCCACAGGCGACTGGTGCAACAGGCTCACTGGCTTTCGAAGCAAGGGCGACGGACTAGAGGCGTTGCAGGCGACACGACAGCTACCTTCACACAACCTCCTCCAGCTGCCCCACACCCCTCGACACACACCCCCTGCTCAAACCCTAGTTCCACTCCCACAGCACCCCCCTTTCACACACCCCCTACTACACCCTAGGTTCACTCACACCCCACCCCCTAGCACCACTCCGTCGACTCCCACACACCCACCCCCCTCAGCAGTAGCTGCAGCAGTGGGAGACAGAGGAGGAGGAGGAGGAGCAGGGGAGACCACACACCCGCCACCCCCTACTCGCCACCCCCAAACCCTAACACAAGGCAGGGCCGAGCGACGGGTAGGGAGGTTACGGGGGGGGGGGCGACGCGCGGCCTCCCAGGGCGCCAAAACAGGCGGTAGAAGGGGCGACGCTCGCCCCCCCCCCCCCCCCAGGCGGCCCCCTCAGGTCGCCTCGACGGGCGACGGGAAAAGAGGGGGGGGCGGTGCACTTGCCCCCGGTGCGCCGCGACAGACGACGGAGCATGGCCGGGGCGGGGCCGGGGCAGGGTCGAGGCAAGGCCGAAAGGGGCGGCGACGGGTCCGCAAGGGGCGGCGACGGGGCCGCTGGAGGCGGCGACGGGGCCGATAGGGGCGGCGACGGGGCAGCGAAGGGGCCGCGAGGGGCCTGGAAGGGCGGCGACGGGCCGCTAGGGGCGGCGACAGGGCCGCGAAGGGGCCGCGATGGGTCTGAAAGGTCGGCGACGGGGCCGCGAAGGTGCTGCGAGGGGCCGAGAAGGGCGGCGACGGGGCCGTTAGGGGCGGCGACGGGGCCGCGAAGGGGCCGCGAGGGGCCTGGAAGGGCGGCAACGGGGCCGCGAAGGGGGTTTAGGTGGGGCGTGCAGCTCACAGAGTAGCAACGAAAGCAGTTAGGTGGGCCCACAGGCCAGGAGCATAGATGCTCTGATACCATGTGAAGAATGAGGAATGAAGAAGAGAGGGGTTGCACTCGCAGCAGTTGGCATACATGTAGGAAACCCTAATCGAGTTGTACTCGCTATAGAGTACCCCACTGCAGGCTAGACAATTATAACATTCTGACACATCCCGTCCATCCCATCCCTACGCATGTTCCCCTTCTCCAAAGCAACACATCCAAGTACAAATTGCTGCTCCAGAAACTCACTCGACAGGGCATTTGCTCTTTTCATAGTCCTAGTCTTTCTTCCCCACTCGACATCATGGTTAGACCGTTTTCGGAGGTGTGGCAGCATGCGTCGAAGGTTACTTGGCCAGACGGCACAGTCACTGTAACATGCAACTACTGCCCTGCTACCGTGACCCCAAATGCGACCCGTATTAGAGAACACATCTACGGGACTCCTCGTTTACGAGAGAAGAATGTGACTCCGTGCCCGTCCAAGTTTGCAACGCACCTTCGTGAAGCCGCCGAGAGGGAACGGTCTTCCAGTTCCAACCGTGCTTCTACCTCCACTTCGGTCGAGATGCAGCCCGCAAGGCGTTCTAGGCAGCGCGACATTCGAGATATGGTGGATACCGTGGCGCGCTCACGGCTAGATTACCTGTGGGCGGCAGTTGTGGCGGAGAATGACCTCGCCTTCAATGTATCCAAGTCGAAGGCGCTGCAAGCCTTCGTTGACGTGGCCGTCGCCTTCGCGAAGCCGTACACACTCCCCACCCCTTATAAGGTGTCCGCCCCCCTCCTCGAAAGGCTACGGGCCGACTCCGAGGACCTTGTGCGGCTGATTAAGGAGTCATGGAAGACGTCCGGGTGCAGTCTCTCGGTGGACGGGTGGACGTGCCTCAAGTCCCGCCGGATGGTGTGCGTCATCGCCCACAACGACACCGCGCCCGTGATTGTCGACATCGTGGACTCAAAAACCGCCAAGAAAACAGGGGACTACCTCGCTGGTCTCATCGAATCCGCGATCCTCAGTGTGGGGAAGAACCTTGTAGTCCAGGTCGTAATGGACAACGCCTCGAACAACCGAGCCGCGGCTAAGAAGCTTGAGGTCGACTTTCCCCAGGTTTTTTTCACCAACTGCGCGGCCCACTGCTTGGACCTCATGCTTCACGACCTAGGCAACATTATGGCCGTCAAGCGCGTTTTGGAGCAAGTTCACCGGGTCGTCATGATGATCAAGGGGAGCGCCTCCGCCGTCGTGCTTTTCCGCGAACTTTTCACCAAGCTTGCCTTGGTGCGGCCGGGTGCGACGCGTTTCGGAACCCAAGTCATCATGCTGCGCCGATTCCTGGAGGTGAAGAAAGCTCTCCGTGCCATGGTCATCAACGAGGAATGGGAAGTGGTGCCGGTGGCGCGACAGCCTGAGGGGCAGGAGGTGCGGAGGCTTCTACTGGATGACGTATTTTGGGAGTGTGCTACGGCGGTTCTCAACCTCCTCACGCCGGTTTATGAAGTGCTGCGGGTTGTTGACACGCGGGCACAAATCATGGGCCAGGTCTATGGCCTCATGATTTATGTCTCAATCAAAACGAGGGTAGCTGCCGAGGCTGCTGGTAAGTGCCATAACCAATTCTGTTTTTTTTTTTTTTCATCACCTCGTACCGCACCGAATCTGTGATCCATGTTCCATCATACACACGCTTGCCACTCTTTGGACTAACCCCAATTTTACTCCCTCTTCACCGTGAGCAGCCTCTGTTTTTGTCAAGAAGACGGGCCTGCTTCCGGCTAAGGACAAGAACACATTCCTAGCTGCCATCAAGACCGTCCTTGCGAAGAGATGGGATGGCCAGCTCCATAACGCCCTGCATGCCATTGGATGGCTCCTCAATCCCCGCAACCAATACGCGGGGGAGGTGAGAAATGATCCAGAGATAAGGAAAGGGACCGAAGAAGTGATTCAGGCCCGTGGGGGGGATGTGGCTGAGCGCATCAAGCTGTTTGCACAGCTCGCGCAGTATCACAAGGGTGAGGGCCGCCTTGGATCGGACGACGCTCGATGGGCAGCCAGGAACCTGGTGGAGGGGGGGCGCATGACGGATGCGGAGTGGTGGGGGATTTTCGGTGGGGAAGTACAATCGCTTCAGGAGCTAGCTGTGTTTACCCTATCACAGCCGGTCACCTCATCCGAGGTGGAGCGATTCTGGTCCAACCTTGCACGTGTGCAGAGACGGGACCGCAACCATGAAGAAGATGACGGATGTCACCTTCGTGGCCTTCACCAGGAGGGCCCGCAATGCATACGATCGCAAATCTGAGGCCCGTGCTAAGTTGTATGCCGACCTTACCAACGGAACCCTCAAGGAGGGCAGTGCCGTCCCGAGGGCAGTATCGTCCCTCCGGCAGCAGTGGAAGAAGAGGGAGGGGTTGCTGAAGAGGAGGGAGCCGAGGTGGAGTGCACCATCGACTGGAACGAATTTGGGAGCATCGGTAAGAAGAAGAAGAAGAAGAAGAAGAAGAAGAAGAAGAAGAAGAAGAAGAAGAAGAAGAAGAAGAAGAAGAAGAAGAAGAAGAAGAAGAAGAAGAAGAAGAAGAAGAAGAAGAAGAAGAAGAAGAAGAAGAAGAAGAAGAAGAAGAAGAAGAAGCGGGCGGGTGAGTGCTCCAAGAGGAAGAGGAAGGAGAAGGGGAAAAGTGCATGCATGCGGAAGGCGAAAGGAAAGCGTGCAGAGGAGGAGGAGGAGGAGGAGGAGGAGGAGGAGGAGGAGGAGGAGGATGAAGAGGCAGAAAGCAGTGGGCAGGAAGAAGCACCCTCCAAGCATGCTAAGGGTGTCCAGCCCTGGGACCGCAGTGATGGTGAGAGTGGGGAGGAGGAGGAGGAGGAGGAGGAGGAGGAGGAGGAGGAAGAGGAGGATGAGGAGGAGGAGGAGGAGGAGGAGGAGGAGGAGGAGGAGGAGGAGGAGGAGGAGGGGTAGGTAGAGAGAGGAGGAGGGGGAGGGATTTGGTGTAGTTCTAGCTACAAAGGCTTAGCAATGCATGATAGTGTAGTGGTCCATTGTTTGTAGGCTTGTTTCTCTGTCGTGTAGTTTCTTGTAGCCTTCCTGGTCATCAATGTAAGCTGCCTAGAAGTTTCTGGAAAAAAACAATTGCAACAAAAACTCCAACAAAATTACGGCCGTTTTTTTTGCAAAAAGCCCCGTAATTTACAACCGTAAATTACTATCACCGTATTTTTCAACCTTGCGTTGATTGCATAAAGAAAAATGAACTCGATGAGAAACTGAACGAGAATGAAGAAGAGGGGGTTCACTAGAAAGCAGCAGGATACATATAGGAAACCCTAAGGGGTTGTACTCGCTATAGAGTACCCCACTGCAGGCTAGAGAACAATAACATTCTGACACACCCCCATAGCCAAAGTGGGGTGTAATCAGCAGAGCAAGCAAAGCAGAACAAGCTCAGGGTGGATCACAATGTCACCACACATTCTGAGCACAAGTACAAGAAGCAACAGTTTAAAGTTCACAATTATGAGCAAAGCTAGTGGTAGTCACAACGGGCAAGTGAGGAGGAGGAGGGACAGTGAGAGGAGAGGAGATAGGAGGCGACGGCTGAAGCTGCAAACACACGGGCAACAGGAGTCACACTGGCACAGCGGCTACCGGAACAACGCGCCGTACTACTGGAGTAACTGGCTCCGCGGCTAAAAGTAGCGGCAGACGAGCAACGGACCCACGGGCGACTGGCACAGCTGGCTGCGACTGGGCTACCGGAGCAACTCCCCGGACTACAGGTGCTGCTGGCGACACGACGGCACCTCCGTTCAACCTCCCCAAACAGTCCCACTCCCCCTGACACACACCCCCTGCTTCACCCCTAGCTCCACTCCCCCTTCACCCCCCTTAGTACCACTCCGACGGCTCCAACGGGTCCACCCCCCTCAGCGGCAGCTGCAGCACTGGGAGACAGAGGAGGAAGAGGAGCAGGGGACGGCACACAGAAGCTGCACCCCCATACCCCCCACCCCCAAACCCTAATTTAGGAGAACGGGCAGCAGCAGGGGTGGGGCGCCATCAGAGGCACGGGGGACAGCGGGCAGCGCAAGGGCAGCGAAGAACGGGCCGCCCACAGGCCTGGCACAGCCGCCCGAACCGCGCGCAGGCGGCCCGAGCCGCGCGCGGGCCTGGCGCAGCCCGTACGGGCCGCGCGCGGGCATGTACCGGCCGCGCGCAGGCCACGACGGGCGACAGGGGGCGACGCGCGGGTCCCCGTCGCCCGTCGCAGCGCCTCCCGGGAGCGACGCGCTGCGTGACGGGGCAGAAACCCGCCGCGCGCCTCGGGGCGCACGGCGGGCAGAGAACCGCCGCGCGCCTCGGGGCGCACGGCGGGCAGAAAACCGCCGCGCGCCTCGGGGCGCATGGCGGGCAGAAAACCGCCGTGCGCCCCGAGCGCGCGGCGAGATGAAAAATCCGTTGCACGCCACAGGGCGTGCAACACAGAGCGTAGCAGTAGCAGCGGAAGCAGTAAGGTGGTGAGCCCACCCACAGGATCGACCCAAGGGGATCGACCTGCTCTGATAGCATGAGAAACTGAAGAGAATGAAGAAGAGGGGGTTCACTAGAAAGCAGCAGGATACATATAGGAAACCCTAAGGGGTTGTACTCGCTATAGAGTACCCCACTGCAGGCTAGAGAACAATAACATTCTGACACTCGAGCGAGAGAGAGAGAAATAGATAGAGAGAGTGACTGGGAGCATGGCGTAGTTGATTCCTTACTCTGACCGAGTAGCATGTCGTTTTATTTTGTGAACCTTCCTTATTGCGTCCACCCCAAACTCGTTCTCTCTCGTTCTCTCTCGTTCTCTCTCTCTCTCTCTCTCTCTCTCTCTCTCTCTCTCTCTCTCTCTCTCTCTCTCTCTCTCTCTCTCTCTCTCTCGGCCCCGTCGCCGCCTTTCTCGGCCCCGTCGCCGCCCTTCTCAGCCCCGCCACCTGCTCGTCGCGGCGCCCCCCCCCTGGCCGCCGCCTCTGCCTCCCTTGCGCCCGTGCCTGCTTTGCAGCAGCGCGCGGGCCTGCCTTGCAACAGCAGCCGCCCCTGGAGCAGCCACCCCAGCAGCAGCCGCCCCAGCTGCAGCCGCCCCTGGAGCAGCCGCCGCTGCAGCAGCCGCCTCTGGAGCCGCCGCCCCTGGAGCAGCCGTCACTGCAGCAGCCGCCCCTGGAGCCGCCACTGCAGCAGCAGCCCCTAGAGCAGCCGCCCCAGCAGCACCCGCCCCTGGAGCAGCCGCCGCTGCAGCAGCCGCCCCTGGAGCAGCCGCCCCTGGAGCCGCTACCCCTGCAGCAGCCGCCCCTGAAGCGGCCGCCCCTACAGCAGCAGCCCCTAGAGCAGCCGCCCCAGCAGCAGCCGCCCCTGGCCCCTGCAGCAGCCGCTCCAGGACGTGGTGCAGCCGTGGGGGGGGTGGGTATGGGGGTGGCGGGTGTGGGGGTGATGAATGTGAGAGGTATGGGGGTGGCGGGTGTGGGGGTGATGAGTGTGGGACAGGTGGGGGAGGTTGAGTGGAGGTGGCCGCCGTGAAGCCAGCAGCTCCAGTCGCCCGTGAGACCGTTGCGCCAGTCGCCCGTGAGCCCGTCGCTCCAGTCGCCTGTGAGCCCGTTGCTCCAGTCGCCCGTGGGTCAGTTGCTCCTGCCGCTTGTTTAGCCGCAGAGCCAGTTACTCCAGTTGCCCGTGTGCCAGTTGCTCCAATTGCCAGTGTGCCTGTTGTTCCAGTTGCCCGTGTGCCCGTTGCTCCAGTTGCGCTGTGTGTCTGCAGCTTTCGTCGTCGCCTCTTATCTCCACTCCTCTCACAGTCCCGCCTCCTCCTCCTCACTTGCTCTCTCCTTTTGCTACGCTTGGTGTACCCCTTCAGGGGGTGTCTCTGCATTGGCTTCCTGCTGCAAGCAGTTTAGGGGGTGTGTTGAAATACATTTCTTATATAAACTGCTTGTAGCAATAGTTAGTGTAGTGTTACATTGTTGGTGGAGCACCTTGCTAGCTTTGTTTGCTATATGTACTCTTGAGCCTATAGTTAACACATCCTTTCTCCTTCACAATTCTCTCGACTTCCTCTTGGCCTAGGCTACTAAGCCTAGGCCCCACTTAAATCTCAACTACCACTTATGCTAGATTCTAACATTTTTTACGTATGTTCATCATTGCATCAACAATGCATGCATATGAATTTTAAAAAGATGTCTCGGGTCTATCATTTCACAAAAGGTTCATTGGCGCACAAAGTGACTCGTGTATTGCCACTTCAAACTGGATTTGATAGGCTTGACCATTTTTTTAGGATTAACAGATTGTGTTGTTCCATGTGATAGTTGATTATTCAAAATCTATGCTATTGACCTCCTCCCCATGCTAAGCAGAGGATGGCGGTAGCTTAGTTTTTGGGTCGTTAACTGTCACGCATTATATTACGTGAATGCATGTGCATTATGATTCATGACATATCATATTAAACATTATGCATCTTATAGCTTTATTTATGCATATGCATTTATTTATCATTACTACAACATCATTTAATAGTAAAACGTATAATGCAAACAGTAAAACACATCTGCACAAAATACCCTAATGGATGAAAATCATATGGTTTGATTGTCAGAACATTATAGCTTACTTATTTCTGTAGGCTATAGTGGGGTATCCCATAGGGGGTACAACACAATTAGGGTTTCCTATTTGTACTCACTTCGTTCATAGTCATTCATCCTCGCTCTTTCTTTCTTCTAGTTTCACATGGAATCAGAGCAGGTTCCCTCCTAGGGACTGCTTCTAGGGCCCACCGAAGCGCGCCCCGAGGCGCGATTTCCTTTTTTTTTAGCGACCCGTCGTGTCGCCCCTAGCGGCCCGTCGCGCCGCCCTTCCTTAGCGGCCCAGCCGCCCTTCGATCGCGGCCCCGCCGCCCTCTGCTAAGCGGCCCCGCCGCCCTCTGCTAAGCGGCCCCGCCGCCTTGCTCACGCGGCCCAGCCGCCGCCCTACCTACACGGCCCAGCATCAGCCGAGCCGCCCAGCCGCAGCCGAGCAGCCCAGCATCAGCCGAGCCGCCCAACCGCAGCCGAGCGGCCCAGCATCAGCCGAGCCGCCCAGTCGCAGCCGAGCCACCCGGCAGAAGCCGAACCGCCCGGGAGCCGCCGAGCAGCCCAGCAGCAGCCGAGCCGCCCAGCAGCAGCCGGGCCGCCCTGGAGCAGCCGAGCCGCCCAGGAGCAGCCGAGCCGCCCAGGAGCTGCAGAGCCGCCCAGCAACCGCCGAGCCGCTCGACCTGCCCTGCCCGGTGAGCCGTACCGCTGTCACTGCGTGCCCTTCCCCTACTGCTTGCACTGCTCCACTGTCGTCGTCATGGCTACCCCCAGTGTCCTCGCTTTTGACGCTGAGGGTCGAGCCATTGACTTTGAGGTCTGGGTCGACGACCTGCAGCTGTTCTTACAGTGCGATAGAGCTGACGGCCTTTCCCTCTTTGACCTCACCTCTGGCGCCTCTCCTGCCCCTGCTGCTGATGCTGACCCCACTGTTCGCTCTCATTGGGCCACCCGCGATGCTGCTGCACGTCTTGATGTGCGTCGCCACTTGCCCACCACTGAGCGCGCGCACTTTAGTCAGTACAAGAGTGCCCAGACCTTGTACGACGTTGTAGTTGCGCGCTACTCCTCCCCTGCCACTGCTGCACTGAGCCGCCTCATGCTCCCCTTCCTCTTCCCTGACCTTGCCGCCTTTCCCACTGTCGCTGATCTCATCACGCACCTCCGCACTAGTGACACTCGCTACCGCGCTGCGCTTCCTGCTGACTTCTGCGCCAAGACCCCCCCCCCCTCATGTACATCACTCTCTACTTCTTAGTCACTCGCCTCCCTGACTTCCTTCGTGTAGTCCGGGATCACTTCCTCGCGGTCCGTCCCACCACCCTCACAGTCGACAGCCTCGAGAAGGCCCTCCTT